TCATATGTTCCTCTAATTTGTGACTAAAATCAACCAGTTCTGTGAGCATCCTGAACACCAGTGTTTTGAACTGTGCATCTGAAAGTTTGGCTACTTCTTCATTACTTAGATTTATCAGCTCTGGGGCTCTGAGTTGTTCTTGAGCCATGTTTTGATCTGTTCATGCCTGTTATGTAGGAGGAGAGGCGCCTTGGTGTTTACCGGGGTGGGGCCACCCAGGTCACAGGTTTGTGACGCTGTATGTGGGGGCAGGGTCAGAGAGGGAGCAATGGCGGTCCTCTCTGCTGGCCCAGTCCGCCTCACCGCTCGCCCCCACCTGCTTATCCAAGTGCAAATGTGCAAGTCTGCCGCCCTGCGCCAGTCGCTGGGCCCTGCGAGATCTGTCTCAACGCTTGCCTCTTCACTGGTTTATCTGCATGCAAATGAACGACCTACTGCAGACAGCCAGCAGCGCCTCTTCCCTGGCTTCCGCCTGTAGCTAGCCTGCACCTGGGATCCGCGCCCCCCCCCCCCCCCCCCCGGCTGCCTGTGCACCGCCCGGTTCTTTTTTGCCCAACTGGCTCCGCTTCTGGTTTCGCCCCTCTCACCAGTTTAGCTGAGTGGTCCCTTATTTCTGGACTCCGTATTCGATTTTCTGTGTGGTTTGGTTATGTTTATCGTTGTTGAAACTTTATTGTTTTTAGATTTGGTTGTGTGAGGACGAAAAGTGTTCCCACCTACGCCTCCATCTTGGCGGAAGTCCCATTTTTTTTTGGTCTTGATGCACCTGTTACATAGTGAGTGGTGCCTTAGGTGTTCACCAGGGCGGGGCAACCCACATCAGTGGGCTGTGGTGCAGTATGTGGGGGAGGGGTCTGAGAGGGAACAATGGTGCTTGCTCGGCTCTCTGCTGGATTTCAGTCACTTCCTCCACTTCCCCCAAGCAAACTGGGCCCTCCTGGTGCTGGTTCCCAGATGGGTGGGCTTGTGTACGTTCTAGGACCCTGTGGGTCTGGTCTCTCCAACCAACTCTCCTGTGAGACTGGGAGTCTCTCACAGCACCTTAACCCCCACAGGTGTTTTCAATTGGTGATTTGAGGCTTTATTTCCCCTCGCAGGAGCCCTGGGTTGCACCATCTGTCTTGCTGCCCAGTTTTGCTTGGTTTATCTGCGCACGAATATGGGACTGCCCGGTCTGCCAGCCGCCCTGCACACTGCACCGTGCCCCCCTGCAATCTGCTGCCTCACTGGGTCCTCTAGCTGCCGCTTTGCCGTGAGTCCTCTCTGCCTGGCTGCCCATCTCCACCCCTCCTACCGGTCTGGATGAATGTGTCTTCTTTAACTCCTTGGTTGTTGGACTTCCATATAGTTCCATTTTTTGTCAGTGCTGGTTGTTTCTTGTTTTTAAATTGTTGTCCTTATTTTAGTTGTGCGAGGAGGCACAGTGTGTCTACCTACCCCTCCATCTTGGCCAGAAGTCTTATCATGATATTAATTTGCACTACCCTAATGGTTGATGATATTTAACATCTTTTCCTGTGTTTACTTGCCACCAATGCATCCTTTTTGGTGAAGTATGTGCTCAAGTCTCTTGCCTATTTTCTAAGTAGATTCTTTTCTTAGTGTTGAGCTTAGAAAGTTATTTTCTATTATGTATTCAAGTCATTTTTCAGATGATTTGCAAATACATTCTCTCATTTTATGGCATGCATTTTTCTTCTTAACTGGGCCATTCAGAGAGCAACAATTAAATTTCGATCAAGTGTAACTGACTGACTTTTTTTCTTTTAGGGATTGTGTTTTTAGTGTCATGTCTAAGAACTCTTCCTCTAACCCTGGGTTGTGGACATTTACTCCTGATTTTTTTTTCCTAAAAGTTTTATAGTTTTACATTTAGATCTATGATTCACCCTGAGTTAATTTTTGTATAAGGTGTAAGATTTAGGTAAAGTTTCCTGTCTCTTTCTTTCTTTCTTTTTTTGCCTATAGATGCCTCCTTGTCCCAACACCATCTGTTGAACACTATCTTCTCTCCCTTAAATTGCTTTTCTCCCGTGTATAAAACAGCTGACCAGACCTGCATGGGTCTACATGTGGACTCCACTCCACTGATCTACTTGTCTATCCCTCCACTGCTACCACTAACTTCATTCCTCCAGCAACATAGTAAGTCTTAGAATAGGAAGTATGATCTCTCCAACTCATTCTTTCTTTCAAAAACTGTTTGTTATCCTCATCCTTTTGCTTTTCCAGAAGAACCAAGTTCAAAGTTGGAGAGTTTTATGGACATCTTTTGACATTATCTCATCAGAAAAAGAACAGTTGGTATGCCATCCATTAGTATTCTTATATGAGAATGGCATAGAAGGATTAAGAGAAAATGAAAATCTTCACATCTTTATTCACTCTTTCAACAAACAGTTATTGAGCATCTATGTGAAAGACTGTTCTAGATGCTAGGAACAAGAACATGGCCATTTCCATTTATATAGTACACTAATTTCATTTGCTTGATCTCCAAAATGCCTGGTTATAGTTTTCATCAAAACCTATGAAAAATAGAACCAGAGCAGGGAAACAGGGAACAGACTGACAATGACCAGAGAGGAGGGGGGAGGGGGATAAGGGGAAAAGAAGGGGAAGGGACTAGTCAAGGAACAGGTATAAAGGACCCATGGACATGGACAATAGGGTGGGCACTGACTATGGAAGGCAGGGTGGGCAGGGCATGGGAAAGCAACATGGGAAGATTGGGACTCCTGTAATAAAACAACAATAAAAAATAAAATACCTCCTGTTGTACAGTTACAGAAAGGAAAAAAAACCTATGCACAAAGATTGCTGGCACTCTGGTGATGGAGATATCACCAGTTACAAATAAGGACGTGGAGGCTGAGAGACAGAGGCTTGTCAGAGGCACTGGATGTGCAGCGAAGGGCTGGGGCCTCACAGAGCCACCGTGCTGCACCTGTGCAGGGGTGCCAGCAGGCTCTGACTTAGTTTTCCCTACAGGAGACCCCACAATGCTCTGTGTGCATCCAGAGATCTGAAACCCTCCAGCACACTTGGGGAACAAAGCAAAAGCAAGGGCACCCAGCGGGGACAGTGGTGCATATGTCAGGGCTCCCAGTCATCCTGACCCTGGGCTCTGCACCTGGCCACCTCCCCTGGAAACAAACCCCTTCAGACACCAAGGCTCTGGTGCCCAGGCTGCCTCCCCAGCCCCAGTGATGCCACTCAGTGTAGCTTAGAAACAGAATGTGGGATGACACACAACTCCAACGAGCCTTGCCAGAAGCAAAGGCCCCCACAGGTGAGGCTCCTGGGGTTTCTCCTAGAACAAACGTGCCCCAGGCTCACCTGAGGAGTTCCCACCAAGCTCCAGCAATAGCGGAGATGGCTCACAGGACCCTGTTCTGGACTGGACCCACTCAGAGATCATCCCAAAGGGGAGGACAGCTGTGAGCAGAATGCCGTGGGGGACCTGCTAGCTCCGGTGCCACCTGCCCAGGTCCCAGCTGCTATGAACATTTTGGTCACAAGGCAAGGGGATATCCTTCTGCCCAGATTTCTCAGGTACTTCCTTCCCTAGAGACACCCCAGGTACAGAACACCTGCACACAATCCCCTACAGGTGTCATATTATTTATCTTGCTGGTGTGTGTGGGTGTTTAACATAAAACTCCCAGAATTAGAAAATCAACTAGAGATGGAAACAGGTGGGAACCATGACCCCTGGGCAGAAGTACCAGCTAGAAGGACTCAGGGTCCCTGGCAGCAAACGCCCTGTGGTAGCTCTGCCAGCCTGGGCACTGCAGACAGGACACCTGCCAGGGGTTCACACCTGAGCCCTCACCACCAGCTGTCTCCACAGCCACCTCCCCGCAGGCTCCCAGGTGGCCTCTGCTCCCTCCCTGCACTCGGCCCTGCCGGCAGATGGAGTGCAGAGTCCTTCCCTATGGGGCCCAAGGGCAGGCCTGCAGCCCCTTTGCTCCTTCACCCCCTCCTCCTGAGGACCACTTCCTACCCAGCGCTGCCTGAATCTCCTGTTTAAAAAAAACCTAACTCAGTCTATCTATTGGCAATGAGAGGCTGGCCCAGCTCATCCTTCCAGAATCCTCTCCACCCACCCAAACCTGACTTGCAAAACTGGGCCAAGGTCTTGGGGGCCCAACTGCTAAGGAAACCAAATCTATCAGAACACAACAGTGTGAGAGACACTAGGTGCACCCCCAACTTGGATTATTCCCAGCTAGCCACAGCCCATCCCAACACACACAGCGACGGCATGTGAACTCTGGAGCACTGTTCTCCAGGCTTGGAGGCATCCAGTTTCTAGCAAGAAACCTCAGTGGCTGCCTGCGAAGGTGTCCTCCTCCCCCGGGGCACAGGCGGAAACTCACTCTCCAGGGCCTGTTCTGAGACAGGCCAGGGGCTCTAGGTGGAGCATGAAGAGGTAGCCAGGGAAGCAAGGGAGGCGGAAGGGACAGCTCACACACTTGGGGCTCACTGTGGGCACCATGAGGTTTGCAGTGAGCAAGTGAGTACATAGTTTCCAAAGTCAAAGTCACAAGTAGGTGACTGGAACACTAGGATGTAAATAAACTATTTCTACTTAATTGCAAAAATGCACTTCCTGATTGTTTTTAAACCAAAGATGAGCAGATACTAGAAAAGATATATTACAGACTGGTATTTAAACATAAGATAAAAGCAGGTTTCTACTACCCTCATCTGTACCCACAGATGTCTCGTACTTGTGCTATTTGGTTGGATGCCTCATTTCTCTTCCTCGCTAGGCTTCCTAAAAAAGCTTAGCTTGGCAAGCATGCCGGGGGACTAAAGGGTGCCTGTTTAAAGGTAAAAATAAATTTCTCCTACCACACTAACATTCTGTAAAGTGAGTTATCAACATTCTAAGGTTGAATGAATTAAAAATGGATATGAACCAAGAGAGAAGATTTAATATATTCAAGCTATAAGGGCTTACTACAGAAAGGCATAACTAACATGACAGTTTAGTCACGGTCTACCCCGATGGGGGGGTTTCTGTAGCCCTACATCGTTGGAAATGCCTTGCAGATTAAACATGTTGCTTCCCTTATTCACAGAACCGTGCGTTAGATCTGTGAGGAGGAACTACACACCTAACTAGGACTAGAGCTGGCAAAGCTATGAAATACCTAATAATCACATTTGTTTTATCATGGGTATTTCATATCCTCGAAGAGCTGTACTATTCTAGGATGTGGTAATTGAGGAGTAAATATGACCTGAACTTACTGATAATCAGAGGGCGTCTGAGACTGAGACGCCAGGGGGGGTCCATCTACCCTGCCCACGGGCCTGAAGTCAGCTGTTTGAAGGAACTGGGTCCTAAGGATTATAGGTGAGCAATTTTTGCAGGATGTCCACATTCAAGCAGAGATCAAAGAAATTCAACTAAAAGAATTGTAAACCGACTGCCATGACTATAGCAAAAATAATTTTTAAAAGATATTAAAACTCAAATCTGAATGGAACTAAGGCAGTGGAAGGAATCAGAATATGTGAAATTCCTCAAATAAAAATGTATTAACTTTAAAAAATTGTGCCTATGTCACATACAATAAAAAAAGCAAAACCCTTTACACTTTTTGCAGAAAAATAACATGACAGGGTAGGGAAATGGGAGTCAGAGAATATTTTGGGGAACCAATAAATACCAGATTGGAAAGGAACTAATATCCAAGTTTCACGCCGCACATAAGTCCATCTGAAATTAACCCCCAAAAGTTACATAAAAGTCATAAAATAAGTGGGATAGAGAAAATTAAATGGCATAATCAGTTCAGCTATGGAAGGGAGATCGCCTCTATTTTTCCCCAAAGCCGGAAACTATTAAAGGTAAAATGGATGGGTTTAAATAGGAAGAGGAATACTTTTTCCATAGTGAAATTAGCATTAAGGGGAAAGGAAATAAAGTTAAAGTAGTGACCAGGTAACTAATATATTTTGAATAGTTTTATAATCCATCATTCAACAAATATTTATTGAAGGTTCCGTACCAGGCACTGCTCTCGGTGCTGGGAAGGCAGGAGTAAACAAACAGAGCCGCACCTCAAAATCACTGTCTCCACGCTGGTCACATCTAATACTTCCTTTTTTCTAAGTATATTTTATTGATTATACTATTACAGTTGTCCAATTCCTTTTCTCCCCTTTATCCCCCCCAGCCCCACACCCCCCTCCTTGCATCACCCCTTTGCCCTTAGTTCATGTCCAGGGGTCGTACATATAAGTTTATTGGCTTCTGTTTCCTATACTGTCTATTTTGTACCTATCAATTATGCTACTTATTCCCTGACTCTTCCCCATTCCCCTCCTCCCCCTCTTCATTGATAACCCTCTGTGTGATCTCCATTTCTGTCATTCTGTTCCTGTTCTAGTTGTTTGCCTAGTTTCTGTCGTTTTTTAGGTTCAGTTGTTGATAGTTTTGAGTTGTTGTTATTTTACTGTTCATAGAAGATGCGGAACCCTTCCATTTTAAATGAAAGCTTTGCTGGGTAGAGTATTCTTGGATGTAAGTCCTTGCCTTTCATGACTTAGAATACTTCTTTCCAGCCCTTTCTTGCCTGCAAGTTCTCTTTTGAGAAATCAGCTGATAGCTTTATGGGAACTCCTTTGTAGGTAATTTTTTCTTTCTCTCTTGCTGCTTTTAAGATTCTCTCTTTAGCCCTGGCGGACTGGAGGCCTGGAAATATTTCTTCTTTTTCCCCTCTTTTTTAGATTCTCTCTTTATCTTTAATCGTGGATAACCTGATTATGGTGTGCCTTAGTGTGTTCTTCCTTAGGTTCACTTTCTTTGGGACTCTCTGAGCTTCCCGGACTTCCTGGAAGTCTATTTCCTTTGCCAATGAGTAAGTTTTTCCTTTATTATTCTGTCAAATAAGTTTTCCATTTCTTGCTCTTTCTCTTCTCCTCCGGCACCCCTATGATTCGGATGTTGGAGTGCTTAAAGTTGTCCCATAGGTTCCTAAGCCTCTCGTTATTTTGAATTCTTGTTTCTTCATTCGGTTCCAGTTTGATGCTTATTTCTTCCTTTTGTTCTAAATCACTGATTTGAGTCTGTGTTTTCTTCCCTTCACTGCTGATTCCCTGGATATTTTGCTTTATTTCATTTTGTGTAGCTTTCATTTCTTCCCTCATTTTGCAACTGACCTCAGTCAATTCTGTGAGCATCCTGATTACCAGTGTTTTGAACTCTGCAGCAGATAGATTGATTGTCTATCTCCTCATTGCTCACCTCTTTTTCTGGAGTTTTGATCTGTTCTTTCATTTGGGCCATATTTCTTTGTTTTAGGCACCTGTAATTTTGTAAGGGGGTGGAGCCTTAGATATTCACCAGGGCAGGGCAACCATCTTTGCTGCGCTGTGGCACTGTCTGGGGGGGGAGGGGCCAGAGAGGGAACAGTGCTGCTTGCTCACTCCACTCTAGCCCCACTTTCCACCTAACTCTCCTGTGAGACTGGGACTTTCTCCTGCCATCACAACCCCTCAGTTTTTACAGCCAGAGGTTCTGAGTCTTTCATTTCCCGTTCAGCCAGCCCCGCCTGGCCCCATCTCCGCCCCACCTCCGGTCTGGATGAATGTTTCCAGATTTCCATGGTTGTCGGGGTTCCATGCAGTTTGACTTTCTGGTGATTTTGGTTGTTTACTGTTTTTAAATTGGTTGTTATCCTTCTTTTGGTTGTGCTAGGAAGTAAAGCATTTCTACCTACACCTCCATCTCAACCGGAACTCCTCCAGGGATTGTTCATATTGTAATATTTCTAAAAGGTCAAAATCCAGAATAATCTACTAAATTGGTTCAAAAGCTTCTCTCTCAACTTCTAGATTCAATATCACCAACCAAGAAATATAAGTTATTTAAAGATATAACTATACATACCTTAATGAAAATAGAGATAAAATCTAATATGTGAAGAAAAAATCAGACAAACATACATTATCTTAACACTGTACCAATTTTTAATATGCTGTTAGCAGAGAGCAAACTGGTAACATGTAATATTTTAAATTCTCTGTCTCCATAACGCTACTGTACAAAGGAAATTTTTCAAAAGGAAAAAACATATAATTTAAATCGAGTGGTTTACTGGGAACTAAATGCCTAGTACAAGATTAATGGTTAAACTACAGCTTAGTGCTGTCCAACAAAAATATAATGCAAGCCACAAACATCACTTAATTTTTTCTAGTAGCCACGTTAATAAAGAAAAAGATACAGGTGAAATTAATTTTAATAATATATTTAACCCAGCATACAAAAAAATCTTATCCTTTTAACATGTAATCAGTAAAAACTTATTAATGAGCTATTTTACACTCTGTTTTTCTTTTCTTGGTACTAAGTCTGGCTGGCTCGCAACAGGATCACCAGGGGAAATCCGGTGTGTACTTCCTATACACAGCACATCTCAATCTGGACTGGCCATGTTTCAAACACTCAATAGCTGCATGTGGCTTATGGCTACAGTATCAGACAGTGTAGCCCAGCAGTTGCCAAGTAAGGGTGATTTTGCTTGCCCAGGGCACATTTGGCAATGTTTGAAGACATTTTAGTTGTCACTACTAGTATCTAGTAGGTAGAGGTCAGCAATGCAGCTGAACATCCTGCAATGCCCAGGAGAGCACCCCAAAATAAAGAGGTATCTGGTCCCAAATGTCAGCCATGTTAAGGCAGCCCTAGATAGTTAAACAGCTAAGCTGGTACCTGACTCACGCTGATCTAGGCAGGTGGATATATTTTATGAGGCCTGTTTTTTACATTATGATGCTTTAAATAATCCTTTTTAGAAGTAACATTTTACAGACTCTCCTGAGAAGGGATGAGGATCCCCACTTCTCTTGATTTTTCTCCAGGGTCACTACACACAGACCGAAAGCCTCTCCATGGCCAGAGGACACAGCCACAGGGACAGGCGTCCGCAGCAGTTGGCTCTTTCTAAGGGGTAAATACTGCTTGATCCAAGAGTTAAGAAAACGTTAAACAAGGAAATCCTACTGCTATGTATACCTTCCCAAGGACTATATGACTAAAGACACTGAACATTTTTTTTCCTGCCCAAGTGATGCAGACACATCAGGGTGGGGATGCTAGAGAGTTAAAAGTGGACAATGAAATTTGGGCTCAGCTTGGGTTGGAACAAAGGCCAGAGAAACACAGTCACATACCTGCCCCTCTAGTAAAGGAAACAAGGAGCATTTGATCCATAAGCAAACAGAGATGCTTGTACAAGACACGTTCCCCGCTCTGTGTGCACTAACGCTATGCCCGTGACTGTGATAACTGCATGCACCCACCACACTGCAGGGACACCACTTACCTGGCCTGGCTCATGTCATTTTCACAGGCTGCCACAGCAGTATGTCTAATGACAAGGCAACCACGGGCTTTCCCCCTATGTGGAGACCACTGAGACAAGCTACAGGGGCCAGAAATCATTCTCCAGGCTGAGCAATCCCTTCCTGACAGCGGGACAATGGCAGGGTAGCCTTCCTGACCCTGGGGACTGAGGATTTAGCCAAGCTCTTGTGAAGGCAGAGAATGGCAGGCAGCAACAGGCAACCCAGAGGTGCCTCCCAGCTTCCAGGGGTTTAAAGGCTGTGCTACCCCTCCTGTGCGGCACACCCTGCAGACGGCAGTCTCCAAGGCGCAGTCAGAACACCCGACAGCATGCTTTCCCTCCCCCTCCTTAGTTCACAAGACCTGAACACAAACCCAGAACCGGCAGCCTCTACTTTTCAACCCTTCTGGCCCAGGCAAAAGCTCTTCTGTCCCAGTCCCCTCGGGTGACACAGGTTTGAAGGGAATTGTACAATTTTAGGTACAGGTTCCAAGAGACTCAAAATATTAAAAACTAAATTCAAAAGAAACTAAAATTTTCTTTTAAATGAACAAAATTTAAAAAGATGAAGTCCTCCCAAGACCAGCTGACACCAGGTTTTCCCACCTCCCCTACCCCCAAATCAAGGAAACCTATCAAGGACATTTCCTCTTTCAGTTCTCATCATATCTGCACATCAGGGTTATTTCCATTATCCTGGCCATCCCTAGCTCTTCCATTAAGAACTTCCAGGTGGTGGCCACCACAGTCAAGAGGGACAGCA